CTATCTATCTATCTATCTATCTATCTATCTATCTATCTATCTATCTATCTATCTATCTCTATCTCAATGCCTTATACTCCTGTCTCCTATTTTCCCCACAACAGCAATCCTGTGAGGTGGGTTGGGCTGAGAGAGAGGGACTGGCCAAAAGTCATCCAGCCGGCTTGTATGCCTAAAGGAGGCCTAGAACTCACAGTCTCCTGGTTTCTAGGCCAGCATCTTCACCACTACACTAAAAGTAGCTTGCCCTGCCAGTTTTGGTGGAGATGTGGGATTAACACTAGACAAACATTTGCTCAGAAAACAATACTCTAATCAAGGAACCACCACAGAGGAAACCACATCCCCCCAAAAGCTGGCAGGGCAAGCTATAAACAGGCAGCAAACATACACTCACTCACTCGCACTGATGATTTTATCTGCAAACAAACAACCAAGCTCAGAGAGCCCCAGAAACGCCACACAGTACTTTCTTCTTCTTGAATGTTTCTTCTTTTAATGTTTCTCCATACTTTCTTCTTCCTTAAATACTTGCATCTTGGCTACTCTTCTTTAATAGGAATGTTGATTGTCTCTCCACTTCCCCGCCCCCCAAGGAGGAAAAAGGAGCATTACTTTCCCACCTTTTAGGGAGAAAAGGAACAGACTTACTGACACAAGAGGAGAAGGTGTGCAAATTGGCTACTGGATCGTAGTGGGCATCCAGCCATTTGGACGTGGCTCGAGTACTGGTAGCAGTCGCGGGAGAAAAAGATGGAAAGAAGAAAAAACGTTGACACAGTAGATAGTTTCAATCCAGAACTAAATTCCCAAGGATTCTCCTTTCCATGTACTCCCCACCAATCAAAAATCTTACAGCTACCCTATAGAGTAAGAAACAGCAATCTAAGAGTCTTTGTTATTAACTACCAGACACCATCTGTCTCAAAAAACCTCCAGGAATCTCGACTTTAAGGTTCATTTTTCTCATATCTGTTTCACCAACTCCTGCAAACGTGGCCCACAGTGATGGGGGTTCTAATCCAGCAATCTCTGCAAGGAAATAGGCTAAACAAGAGTGACTTGTGTGTGATGGACAGCTATATAATGTGATGTATAAATAAATGGATGGATGGATGGATGGATGGATGGATGGATGGATGGATGGACGGACCAGAATGTTCAGCTCCGGTTGTCACATTTTTAAAGCAGACACATGGAGAAGCTCTGACTGAGAAGCATCTTAGGTAGAAACAGATCAAACTCTGGAGCTTTTTCTAGCACTGAGAAAATAAGTATTTTTTTAAAAAAATTCCTCAGCTAGAGTGAGATTGCTATAAAAGAGAGAGGGTCCCAGTAATGTAAAAGATGGCAAAAATTACATACAATTAGCCTTAAATTTAGGCTCACAGATACAGACAGAAATATATATTGACAGATACAAATTATACAGATATGTATAATTTCTTCATCCAGATCTCCTCTACATGATTAATGAACGGTTTTCTTTTCCTTTCTCCTTTCTACAGGAATTTTTAAAATATTGTTCTTAATGTAGTGTTTTAAAACGTGCTTTTCTATTCAAGAGGCTATCTATAGGAAGTGGCATTTATTTTATTAACTTGTGCAATTAATAAACTGCCTCAACCCAGCTAGACTCTGATATAATGATATATGTATTTACAATATTGATATTGGATCATTTAAAGCTTAAAAAAACATTAAAATGCTTCTTTTTCAGAGTCTCCTGTGAAGTTGCTTTAAATGCTTACCTGTCACATGGAATGTATAGAGCATTATTATTATTATGGCGGGTTGCACAGTCAGCCAGATATTTAGACTGGATTTGGCATTTTTATCCACCTATCGGGTCCTTCCCAAAGACCTGGGATAGGCAGATGTTTGATGGTGTTAAAGGTATCGTTGCAAGATGTAATTATTATTATTGTTGGTTGCACAGTCAGCCAGATGTTTAGACTGGATATTATTAATATTATTATTACTACTACTACTACTATTATTATTAATATGCCATTCAACTCCCAGAAACTCTGGGTGGTTTACAAATGGTTAAAAACATTTAAAAGCAAGTAACAATACAAGAAACGCAAAACGAAGAAACAAAGATGGCAGATATCATGGAACTTTTAGTTTAGAGGCTCCTTATTTTATGTTACAATTGCTTGTAATATGTTATTACAGTAGATCAGTGTTTCTCAACATGGAAACTTTAAGACATGTGGACTTCAACTCCCAGAATTCCCCAGCCAGCATGCTTTAAGTTGTGTGGACTTCAACTCCCAGAATTCTGGGAGTTGAAGTACACATATCTTAAAGTTGCCAAGGTTGAGAAACACTGCAGTAGATCAATTCTTGTTTCATTCCATGCCTGCACTGTACTTAGTTACAAGTGCATAATAAAAACTACTACTACTACTGTATCAATATATTCACATATAGATATAAACACATATCTGCTGATATTAACAAACAGCTATAGCTGTTCTATAGACCTAGAAAACAATATAGACATGGAATAATTACAGATCATGATACTTCTTTCACTGATTGTAGATAGTATTGATAGATATAAGTAGACATGGTTCTGGCTCTTATACCTGGATATAGATAAGATATAGGTATAAATGTTGATGGATGTTAATAAATGCTATTTTAGGATGTACGGACAGGAACACAGACTCCAAATTATGGGAAATAACTCTGTCCTGGTCAGAACCCATTGGAAATGTTGTGTTGTTTTGGTCACCCAGTTAGTTGGGATAAGTTAAGCTTTGGGTCTCAGAGGCAGTCTACCCCTGAGGGCTAGATTTCAGGGGCAAAGGACACATCCATGATTGCCCCACTTCACTCTACCCTGGTTAGACCCTATTTGGAATACTCTGTCCAGTTCTGGACACCCCAGTTTAAAAACAGAGGGACCAACTGGAGCACGATGGTGAGAGGTCTGGAAGCCAAGCCCCGTGAAGGACCTGGCATGCTATTCTGCAGAAGAGGTGACTGAAGGGAGACAGGACAGCAGTCTCCAAATTGTCATACGCAGAAGAGGAGGTGGATTTTTTTATTGCCCCAGAGGGCAGCATCAGGACTGATGGATTAAAATTACAAGGTTGGAAGTTAAGGCTAGATGTCAGGAGGAGCTTTTTGAGTGGAACAGGCTGCCACACGAAGTGGCAAGTTCTCCTTCAAATGGGCTGGACGGTCATCTGTCAGCGCTGAGGTTTTCTAACTTTTGCAGGACGCGGAACCTGTTGGTTAAAAAATAATATTTCCCGGAATCCCCGAGGAAGAGGCCAAGCTCTAGAGATAGAAACGAGACTTGTGCTCGTTCGTAATTCCTTTAGAGAAAATGAATTCCATTGAGGTTATCCAAATTTCACGAAGGATGCCCCAGCTGCGGTCCCAGAAAGGTTGTCCAATTATGGCGTGCATAAAAAGCGAAGTATTTCTTGCAAATGCAAAGTTAACATTTCCAGTGTGCCAACATTAAAACCGACAATTACTTGGGAGGTTAATGCTTCGACCGAACAAATCAAATCCCATCAATCAAGTGGGATGGAATTGGTTTTCCTTAGGAAAACTGTTTTGAGTTTGAGTTCTATCTATCTATCTATCTATCTATCTATCTATCTATCTATCTATCTATCTATCTGCCCTTCCTCTCTCCCAGAGGAACCCCATCAAGTTCTCATGGCACCCAGCGGGAGAAAACCCACTCCAGTGGATCCTGCAGGGAGTCAGGGGTTGGGCTGGATGACCTCTAGGTACTTCTTTGACTTTAGGATCCTAGGAAATGCAGATATGATAACTGAGGCATTTTGATAGATATTGAGAAAAAGAAAGATGTGGGTCCACACACACACAGACACACACAGGAAAATCTTATCTAGATCAGGGTTCCTCAAGCTTGGCAACTTGGCCAGCATGGGGAATTCTGGGAGTTGAAGTCCACACGTCGTCAAGTTGCCAAGCTTGAGGAACCCTGATCTAGAGACATAATATATCTAGGAGTCCGAGCTCCAAATTTCTGCCCCCCCCCCCAAAAAAGACTTCCAGGACTCT